CTAAGTTCGCGCTTCGCGCTGCATCGCGCCCTCCCGCCACCCCCAAGTGGACGCCCTTGACTCGGCACTAGTTCTGACGTTCTTGTCATCACGGTGTGCAATCTCGGCGGGCGGGGAGGGTGGCCAGGGCCCGGGCCAGAAGATTGGAACTTCTCCTGACTGCCCTCAGATGCGAGGCACCGCCTCAACGAGCATCCCCGTCCTCCTCCTCCTCCTCCTCCTCCTCCTCCACCACCTCCTCCTCCTCGTCCTCCTCCTCCTCCTCCTCGTCCTCCTCCTCTATCTGTACTCCTCCTCCTCCTCCACCACCTCCTTCTCCTCCTGCTGCTCCTCCTCCTCCTCCTCCTCTCTTCCTTCCCTCCTCCTCCTCCTCATCCTCCTCCTCGTCATCATCATCATCATCATCATCATCATCATCATCATCATCATCATCATCATCATCACCACCACCACCATCATCATCATCATCATCATCATCAGCATCATCATCATCATCCGCATCATCACCATCATAATCAGAATCATCATCAGCAGCAGCATCAGCATCATCATCATCATCATCATCATCATCATCATCATCCTCATCCTCATCAGCATCATCATCAGCAGCAGCATCAGCATCATCAGCATCAGCACCATAATCGAACTCAGCATCAACATCAGCGTCATCAGCATCAGCATCAACAAACGCATGAGCATCATCATCATCACCAGCAGCATCACCATCAGCACCAGCAGCATCATCAGCAGCAGCATGAGCATCATCATCATCATCATCATCATCATCATCATCATCATCACCATCATAATAATCAGCATAAACATCATTGTAAGCATCATCGGCAACACCATCATCATAATGAGCATCATCATCATCATCATCGTAATCAGTAGCATCATCAGCACCATCATCAGCAGCATCAGCATCAGCATCAGCATCAGCATCAGCATCAGCATCAGCATCATCATCATCATCATCATCATCATCATCATCATCATCATCATCATCCGCATCATCATCATCATCATCATCATCATCATCATCATCAGCAGCAGCAGCATCAACATCCGCATCATCATGTCATCATCATCATCATCGCCATCATCATCATCACCACCAGCATCAGCATCCGCATCCGCATCAGCATCAGCATCAGCATCAGCATCATCATCATCAGCATCATCATCATCATCATCATCATCATCATCATCATCATTATCATCATCATAGCCGCCACACCCTGCAGGACATCGTCGAGGCAGCCTTGCGCAGGCAGCTTTGGCGTGACGCGGCAGACCAGCATGAGGAGTTGGAGGCTCTGCGCCGCGGCGGGGCCGTCGCCAGCATTCGTTGCGCCTTCCTGTCCAAGAAAGCGACGGCGAGGCTGGCGGCCTGCAGCTCCTCGGCACGCAACGCCTTGGCGGGCTGCCTGTGGCCGGTCGCGCGGAGAGCGCGGGCCACCCCTCCGCTCGCCTCCTCGGCCCGCTGCCCGTGGGGGTGTGACGAGGCGGGCACGGTCCGACACCTGGCTTGGCGCTGCCCAGCACTCGACGGGCCTCGGAGGCAGCAGAAGGCAGACGGGACCAGATTCGAGCTGCTGCAAGAGGCGGAGAGGGCGGAGCCCGACACAGGCCAGGAGCACCACATCTGGTCACGCGGGCTGGTGCCCGACCCGCGAGCAGGGGCGCCGTTGCCTTTCGCTCGCACGCTGGTGAGACGGTCGGGCACCCACCCAGGGTCCGTCTTCGAGCGTGAGGTCTTCCTCGACGGTTCCGCCTTCCGCTCCAGGGACAAGGTGCTGGCGCGCGCGGGCTGGGCGGCGGTCACGACGTGGGGGTCTGACGATTCGGAGCGGAGCAACGTGGCCTGGCCGCTCCCCCAGGACAGCGGGGCCGGGGAGCTGCAGGCGGCAGTGGAGGCCCTGCGAGGCGGCATCGGGCCGCTCATCCTCTACACCGACTCGGCGATGGTGCGCGACGGCTGGGCCTTCGGCGAGCGCTGGTGTCTGGAGTGTGGGCGGCCTTACCGCGAGCTGTGGGTGCAGTTCTGGCAGCTCGTTGAGGACTACGGCGTCACCATGGTGCAGGTCGGCAAGGTGAAGGCGCACGCGACGGAGCAGCACGTCCGCGACGGCCTCATCACGGACAGACAGCGCGCGGGCAACGCCAGGGCAGACAGCCGAGCCAAGGAGGGAGCCGCTCTCCACGGCGTCCCGCAGGCGCGGCTCGACATGGTGGACCTCGCGGAGAGCCTTGCCAAAGGCGTTTCCGACTGGCTGGGAGAGGCTATGCAGGAGGGCGACTCGCTGCTGCGGGCGACCGACGGCTTCGAGGCGCCTGGCCTTGAGGCGATCAGGTGCGCATGGGCGGGTTGCCGACAGCGCCCAATGGCAGCCTGCGGGGTCGGCGGGCCCAACTGCGCATTCCGCGCCTGCGACCGCCATGGCACGGCGCTGATGCTGGGCGAGACAGTCTGCTGGAGCTGCTGGGTCTGCGCCGCCGCTGGCACCCCCGTGCAGGGGAGCAGAGCGGCCGCCCGCAGCGGAGGCTCGGGCGACGGCGCGGGAGCGACGGGAGCAGCCGTCCTCGCTTTGGCGGCCGCCGCGCTGGCGGCACGCCCTCGCGAAGAGGCTGAGGGCGGCGGCGGGGGTGAGCCCGCCCGCGAGGAGGGGCCGCCGAGGCAGAGGGCGGGCGCTGCTAGCCCAGGAGGAGCGTTGGCCGGAGGGTCCGCCGCAGCGGAGGTGTCAGCCGCCGCCGAGGCGCCTCCGCCGCCCCCCGCCCCGCCAGGGCCAGGACGACGGCGAGGCCGCGGTCGTGGCGGAGGCCGAGGCCGGGGCCAGGCGCGCGCCGCTGAGCGGAGGCCCCAGTTGTCGGCCCAGCAGCCGTCGGGCAGCCTGCCTGGTGGAACGCGGCGCTCCACGACTCGCACATCCTGATGCAGGCGGGCCCGACGGTCTTCTGCAACGTGTGCGGCTGCAACGCTGGCTCGGCGCGCGTGATGGGGCTGGCCGAGCCCTGCCTGCGCCGAGCGTCGGAGCGCCAGCTGGAGGGGCTGCGCCGTCTCCGACGATGGCTCCACCCAACTAGGAGCGCGGTGCTGGGGGAGCCCGCCCGCCTGGCGGGCCGAGGGCGGCCGCGGAGCCGCTCCCGAGAGCGGCGCGAGGCCGCGGCGTCCGGCGAGCGGGGCGAGGGCGCTGCTTCGGGCGCGGGGGGTAGGGGTGGGGCCTAAACCCGTGGTGCCTCCTGGGCGGGCAGCGGCCCTTTAGGCTTGCCTAAGGGGTGCCGTTGTCCCCGTTCGGCTCTTGGTTGCCCTGGTGCTCCCAGTTGTCGTGCGGGTCCAGGTTGCATCACGGGCTTGGGTGCCTCCCCCTGCCCAGAGCGGGGGCTGTGCGACGCACGCCGTCCGCCGAGGGGGGATCATCATCATCATCATCATCATCATCATCATCATCATCATCATCATCATCATCATCATCATCATCATCATCATCATCATCATCATCATCATCACCATCATCATCATCATCATCATCACATCATCATCATCACCATCACCATCACCATCACCATCACCATCACCATCATCATCATCATCATCATCATCATCATCATAATCATCATCATCATCATCAGCATCAGCATCAGCATCATCATCAACAACAACATCATCATCATCATCATCATCGTCATCATCATCATCATCATCATCATCATCATCATCAGCATCATCATCATCATCAACATCATGATCATCACAAATCGCTCATCCTCCCTCTTATCCTCCTAAAACTCAAAAGCCATCCAACAAAGAAACAACCTTCAGCGAGCATCGTACGGAAATCCGCCAGCCCGTCTTCGGGGACAGAGGCTGCTGCCGTCTAAGCGCACAGGGGGGTCCTGAGACGTACGAAGCAGGAAAAGGGCACAGATCTCCGACAATACGATCATATCAATCCCAACGTGTTCCAGAGTTCGACCCCTGAGGCTCTCCACTGGGCCCTGGGACAACAACAAATTGATCCCGGACGGGAAACTACCCCCAGGGTAGTTTCCAACTATGGCGCGGATTGTAAAAACTAGCATCCAAGGGTATCTGGGGATGCGCTTTTGATTGTGCTCGCGGGTCAGTGCGAGGAACGCGATGCCAGGCTACTGCAGCACAAACCCTGCACACAGACAGCGGAAAGCTCAAATGGCAAATATTCGAGATCCAAGCTGTGTGCAGCAGTCAAGCGGGAGGAAGGAGGAGGGGGAGGACGCTTCAGCCAAGACGCTTAAGCCTGCCCAGCGAACAAAAAACCAAGAGGAGGAGGAGGAGGAGGAAGAGGAAGAGGAGGAGGACACGGATGCGGAGCAGGACGGGGGGAAGGGGAGAAGTAGGAGAAGGAGGAGGAGGAGGAGGAGGAGGAGGAGGAGGAGGAGGAGGGGGAGGAGGGAGGAGAGGAGGGCACTGGGGGATCACAGGCATAGGGCAGAAGGTAGAGGAGGACGAGAAGGGCGAAGTGGTGCAGGTGGAGGGGACAGGGAGGAGCAAGAGCAGGCGGAGATAGATCGAGGGAGTAGTAGGAAGGAGCAAGATGAGGACGTCTCCAGAGGTCTCTGGAGGTGCCTCCGAACTCTCTGGAAATCCCCTGAGGTCCCGCATGGAGACCTCTGGAGGCCTCCTGAGACCCTGGAGGCCCCTCGACCCTCGATCGAGGAAAAAGCACCAGCATGAGGAGCAGCCCTGCAGCCGAAGCCACTGCAGCAGAGCGCGCCCGAATGCCAAAGCACGTGGCTCTCGTCGGGGATATACTGACCAGGGTCAATCCAAACCCTGGTCAGTCTGGCTGGAGCCAGATCCGGTAAGATCCTGAAGGATCCTGCACGCAGGCCCGGGACAATGCGACCCGGGCTCAAGGATCCTGCAAGATGCGGCGCCCTGGCTGACCCCCCTTTGCGTTGACACCCGTCTTAAGGCTCCCGATCTCAAGCGGCGGGTGGCGTGCCAGAAGGCCCGCTGGATCCACGCCGCTGGCAATCTCCGCCATCCTCGGGGTGAAGTCGGCCTGAGGCACGGCGGGGGGCAGCACGCAGGTGCGTGGCCCTCGACGGGCCGAGGCTTGGGGATCGGGGGGCAGCGAGGCGCGAGGCTCGAGGATGGAGGGTAGAGGCTGGAAGATCGAGGATCGAGGCTCGGCGAGGGAGGAGGCTGGCGGACCCACCGATCCTCGATGCTCGAGGGTACACTCGAGGAGGATCGGAAACTGAGGCCTTCGGGCGTTCCCGGTCGTCTCCGCGCTCCGCGCGCCGCGCGAGGCATCGGCCCTCGCGCGCCTCGCGCCGCCACAGCGTTCCTAGTCAGGCCAGGAGGGCGCATGCGCCAATCCTGGGCCAAGGATGGGCTTGGGCCAGGGAGTGCATCCAGCCATCTGGACGTGGGCTGAGGGAGTCAGTTCGTCATTCTTCCAGCCTCCTCCCCTCTCCCTGGGTTCAGACCCCCCCACCATCCAACCCCCGCCGCCCCCCCCCACCCTCCACTCCCTCCTCCTCCACCCCCCCTTCACACACACACACCCTCCGTCCCCCCCTCCCCCCTCTCCTCCTCCGACCCCCCTCCAGAGTTCCCAGAGATCGCTGAACTCACCCTCGCTTCAATCCTTTAAAATTTCAGGAGAATCCGCCACCGTGCGCGTGGAGGCGTGGAAGCATGCCAAAGTGTGTTTGGTTGGACTTTTGAATTCTAGTAAGGGGCCGCCCTCCCCTCTACCCGCGAACTGTTGCGTATATCGCCCCTCCTGTCCGAGGCCGCTTCCCGCATGGCAGCTAATGGCTGAAGCCCCCTTTCCACGCGTGCCCGCTCGAAGATGGTGCACTCCCCGCGCGGCAGCTGATGCCTGAACCCTCGTTCCATGCGCGCCCTCTCAAGGATTCTGCACTTCCCGCATGGCTGCCATCTCCTACACCCCTCATCTCACGCGCACCCGCTCGAGGGTCGTGCACTTCCCACATTTCCAGGGGCTCTTCACAAGCTATCCAGGGCCTCCCAAGCCACGATCCCTCGTTTAAGCGATGGACCTGTGACCCGTGCTTGCAAAACGGCCCGCGCAGGCAACCAAGGACACCAAGATGGCCCAAAACCAAGAGGCCTCGAGGACAGCCCAAGATGGCCCCAAGGAGGCCGAATATTGACTCAAGACGGCCCAAGATGCCTACAAGAGGGCCGAACATGGCCAGAAGAGAACCGCCAACAGGGTCAGAAGAAACCCAAACTACTGATGGCTTGTCGCATTCTCGCCGTTTCAGGCTGCCGTCAGCTCAAGACGGCGTAAAAAAACTCCACGATAACCGAAGAGGCATCCAAGACGGCCCGACAGGGCCTCCCGCGGTACCCGAATCGACCTTAGAAGGCGAACCAACCAAGACGGCGCCAAGACTGTCCCACAACGGCCCCCAAACACCCACCATACAGCCAAGAGGGCCCCAACACGGCCCAAGAGAGACCCAAGCCGGCGCAGGAAAGCCCCAAAGCGGCCCCGAGGGACACCCAAGGCCGCGTCACACCAAGCCAAGACAACCCCAACACGGACAAAACGAGCTTCGTCGTCATCAGCATCACCACCACCATCATCGTCACCATTACCACCACCACCATCACCGCCACCGTCACCATCACCATCACCACCACCATCATCATCACCACCACCATCACCAGCATCATCATCAGCAACATCGCCATCAGCATCGGCATAATCATCATACTAATTTTCCGCATCACCACCGTCATCATCATCAGTATCACAACCACAACCACCACCATCATCTCCAGCAACATGGCACCCTAAGCAGCATCATCACCACCAGCATCGGCATATGCATCATCGCGCCCATCCCCACCATGATCATAATCACCATAATCATCGCATCGCATTCGACGTCATCATCACCAGTGTAATCAGCATCATAACCGACGTCATTGACACCGTCATTGTGATCACCATCATCATCATCCTCATCATCCTCATCATCATCATCAGCATCATCATCATCATCATCATCATCATCATCATCATCATCATCATCATCATCATCATCATCGTCGTCATCATCATCATCATCATCATCATCGATATCATCATCAGCGTCATCACCATCACCGTCATCACCCCCATAAGAATTAGTTGAGTTCCCAGACGGCAAACTTAAATGCTGGCGCGAAGCGCCTCTGATGCGCGAAGCGCTCCTATATATGACCGCAACATACAGAATGACTTATGGACGAGAATGTGTCTTCTGGCACAGGTGCCAGCTCCGACGCTCTGCCAGGCCTGACCCCACCACCGGCGGGGGGCCAGGCAAAGCTCGAACGAAGCGCGGGCGCGGAGGGCGGGAACGCGCCTCGACCCAAAGGAGATGCAGAGAAAGGGAGGAAGGGGCGGGCGCCGAGGAAGCGGAAGGGCTGGCAGATCGCCCAAGACGTGCCTCGCGGGACTTAAACCCACGGTTTTGCTCAAACCTACGAATCCCACCAACCCTCTGGGCGGAGGTGGTCTAGAGCGTATCCGTTTCCAACCTCCCTGATATACCTCCCCCCCCACTCCTTGGGTTTGGACGGCGCGGTCCCGAGGGGTTAGAGGGTCCTTTTTGGCCCAAGATGGCTCCAAGAGGGCCTCAGAGAGCGCAAGATGGCCTCCAAGATGGCCCAAGATAGCTCAAGATGGCTCAAGATAGCCTCCGACACACATCCAAGAGGCCCCAAGGCTGCCCCAAGACGGATCCAAGTGCCTTTCGAGCCTTCAACGGCACCCTCCAAGATGCCAAAATCCTTCAAAAGCCTAGGGAAAATCAATGTTTCAGGCATTCTCGCCTTTTCGCTTCCGATGGGCTTTGGCATCCTCAACATGGCCCCAAGTTGCCCCAAGAGAGCCCCAAGAGGGGCCCAAGAGGGCCCCAAGACGGCCCCAAGAGCGTCCAAGAACGCTCCAAGAACGGCCCAAGACGGCTCCAAGACAGCATTTGTGAGCCTCCGAGGGGGCGACGGGAATTGGACTTCCCCTTCTTTTTTAGCCATGGGGCCCAAGACGGCCCCAAGAGGCCTCCCAAGCCTCCCCAAAGAGCCCTAAAGAGGGCTCCAAGACTCCCCAAATGAGCCCCAAGAGGGCCCCACGAAGGCCCCAAGAGGACCCCAAGAGGGCTCCAAGATGGCGCCAAAATGGCATTACGACGCTTCGAAGAAACCCTCACCACAATATATCCCCTAAGCCCGACTTCTCGTCCTCCTTGTCATCGTCCCCTCCTCCTTTTCTGTTTGTCCTCCTCCTCCTCCTCCTCCTCTTCCTCCTCCTCTTCCTCCTCCTCTTACCCCCAAGATGGTCCCAGGCATCGCCAGCACCAGCAGCACTATCAGTAACACCAGCATCAACACCAGCAGCAGCGGTACCATAAACACAAACTACAACGACAACACCAAAGATACCAGCAGCTACAGCCCGACACCCTTCGCTACAAGAGCTCTCCCAATTCACCGGTGTTGCCAATCAAACCGCCGTGGGACATCCGCGCCTTCCTTCCGCCCTTCCTGCCTCCTCCCTCCTCCTCTTCATCCTCCCCGTGCCGCTTTCCTGCTATTCCTCCTTTTCCCCGTCCTCCTTCTCCTTTTTTCATCCTCCTCCTCCTCCTCCTCTTTCTCCTCCTACCCCCAAGATGGCCCCAGCAGCAACACCACCAGCAGCAGGAGCACCACAAGCAGCAGCACCAGCAGCAGCACAAGCACCAGCAACAGCAACATCAGCACCAGCATCAACAACAGCAGCGCCAGCAACAGCATCATCAGCAGCACCGGCAGCAGCACCAGCACCTGAGCAATTTCGAAACGCACGCGAGTTTATGATACAAAGCAGTGCAAGGGTTCAAATCAAGGATGTCCATCGAGATGCGACTCTAATCTGCGCGCCGCTGGCGTCGGATCGTATATACAGGAACCTGCGCCAGAGACGCTTACCAAAGGGAACACCATGGCGCATCTTGTACTGATTTCTGCCTTACACTTCACTGCGCGAAGGTCCTTATTTTCTGGCTCACGGTACGGCCCACCCTGTTTTGACGTTTTCAAAACAGCTGTGCGACCGCGTGCTTCCAGGCGTCCCTGGTTGACCAACTCACCTGGTTATCGTTTCTGGATGGACGCTTACCACAGGGAACCTCACGGCGCATCTCGCACGAATTCCCATCTCAACTTCAGTGGAGGAAGCTATGTGTGATCCTTGTTTTTCTGGCCCGAGGTGCGGCCCCCCAGCCTTGAAAACAAGAATGCCTGTGCGCACGGCGGTGTCTATGTGCAGCTTCTGCGCCCCTTCCGACACGCTCCCAAGGCGGTTGCGAAACCTCGTGCCCTAATCTGCGCACGACACGGATGTCGGATCGTGCATGCAGCAACCTGCGCCAAAGACAGTTACCACAGAGAACATTATCGTGCATCCTGCACTGCTGCCTGTCTTAAACTTCGCTGCGCCGAACTATTTGTGATCCTTGTTTCCTGGCCCAGGGTGCTGCCCACCCTGTTTTGACGTTTCCAAAACAACTGCGCGACCGCGTGTTTCCAGGCGTCCCTGACTAACCAACTCACCTGGTAATCGTTTCTGGATGGGCTGGCGGGGATATATTTTTTTTCGGTCGCGGCCGCGAGACGACGGTCCGGCGGCGAAAGCAAAGTCCGGGACGCGAGCTCGGCGAATTAGCTAAGACAGGCGCAGGCCGGCCGGCCCACTCAGACAGCAGCTGCGGGCTGACGGGTGAAGCTGAACTGATCGGCGCACTGCAAGCTCGGGCACGTGCGCTGGACAAAATGTCACGGAATTCAAGCGGCCAAGGCACAACCCGCACAGAGGGGACGCGGACCACGATGGGCAAGTCCTTCGTGCTTGGTGAAGACGTGATGGCCATTGGAGTGAGTCGCCAATGTGGCGCCAGGCTCCGAGCGGACGACCTGAGCTAGCCAGACAGGCTAAGCAGTCGTGAGCCGTGGTGCAACGCACAGGGGAAGCTGAAGGTGGGCCTGTAGGACTGATCT